CTTATGCGGGTTTTTAATGTAGATAAGACAGGATTTACAACTGTGCAGTCTAAATCGAGCAACATTTTTGCACTAAAAGGCTGAAAACAGGTGGGCAGCCTCACATCTACAGAAAGAGGAGTTTTATCAACAGTTTTCGTTTGCATGTCTGCTGGATGCTCATTCATTCCCCCAATGATAATTTTTCCTAGAGTAAGAATGAAAGAAGAGTTAATAGACGGAGCTTCACCTGGTACTAAATTCGCCTGTCATAAATCAGAATGGATGCAGCTGGAAATTTTCAGTAAGGGTTTGAGCATTTTCTTAAACATGCGAAGCCTACAGCCAAAGACCCTTGCTTATTAATACTAGATGGGCATGTTAAACATACAAAAAACTTGGATTTTATCAATATGGCGCGTGATAATTTCGTAACTGCACTGTGTGTGCCGCCTCACTGTAGCTATAAATGGATTCAGACATTGTGTGATTGTTGCGTATAATCCGCATGTGTTCAGTGATGCAGATTTTGCTTCAGCTGAAGTTACTGATAGAGATATTGAAGTCAGAGAAGATCATCCAGAGAACGAAAACTCAAATGATGAAGACAACCAAGCAAATGGTGTAGCAGATCCAATTCCTTCAACTTCGCAAACTAACAAACGACCTATTGATCAAAACATGAATGACTTTTAAAATAGTGGACCAAGCTGCTCGGGGTTACTCGTCAGTCCAGAAGACATCGTTCCGATTCCAAAATATAAAACGGAAACGCAGAGAAATAATAGGAAAATAGGTTCTACCGCAATAATCACAGACAGTCCTTATAAGAATTAGCTGGAAATAGCAAAGGAATCTAAAAAACCAGAATCAGTTAAAAGGCAACTTTTTGGTAGTAAGAATACTAAAAGCAAGGTTCCGAGAAAGAAATCAAAAATTTCTGGTAAAGGTGACACATGCAGCAGTGACGATGATGAGCAGGAAGATGTCGAGTTTCTCTACTGCTCAAGCCTTTTTTCAAAATCCAAAACAGGGGAGGGCAGGATATGCTGCTCAGTGTGCAAAAGATGGGCACATGAAGAATGTGGTGGATGCGATGAAGACGACGATGTGTTTACATGTGAACTATGTTCTTAAGCTGAATTATATGCGTAATAAATCCTAAGTACTGTTTTATCAGATGTGAGATTGTTTAGAATACTTTTATCATGGTCACTTTGTCCCAAAATATGGGTGACCACTTTGCCCCGTTGCGTTGTGTGGGGTAAAGTAGCCATCTGCCAATATTTTGTAATAAAAAAAAATTAAATTAGCGCCTTAATTTTTTTACTATGACTCTAATAATGTTTGAGTTGCAATGCGTACTTAGTTTCATATTCATATTGGTCTGTATTTCAAATCACGGGACTTTTAAACCTTGGGTGGCCACTATACCCACATCTCCCCTATTTGTCGCTTATATACAGAAAAATATGGCCCTCTCATAAACAATTAACTATCGCTACTGCATTATTACTTATAATGGGCTGTACCAGACAAAATTGCGATGCTTAGCAATAATACTATAAACGTTATTCTACATGTTTTATAAGAATTTTTCAAAATAGTTTATTAATAATTCCTGTTATAATTTGAAGTTCAGAAAATAGTTCATTATATCTTGTTATGTTTGGTGGATTATGGTTTCCTACTATTCTAGTGATTTTATTTTTTATATATTTTGGGGTTGGCATGTGCGTACCTACACCAAAACGTACCCAAAAATTAATAATAAGTATAACAAAAATAATTAGTTATTCTTATGTTATTCATAAACGGACTTTGTTATCAAATTTAATATGGGCGGTCACAATATAAAATCATTACAACATATATAAAAAAATGTTTTCATAAAGTATTACACCAATTCATTTCCGTATTGACAAATTAAAAAAATATTTATAGAATATTTTATACAGTATCCTGTTGAGATTTGAACATATTAAATTAACTTCCTGTATGAGAAATTTAAAATAGTCAATCAAGCGAATTCGACAACCATACAACCAAAGGACTTCCGTTCGATTGAAGTTCTCCATATTCAAACACAAGAAGCACCAACGCTTTAAAATCAAATCGAAGCTCGTATCAAGCCAATTCGACAACCATACAACCAAGGGAACTTCCGTTCGATTGAGGTTCTCCATACTTAAACACAAAAAGCACAAACGCTTTAAAAACAAATCGAAGCCCGTATTAAACTAATTCGACAACCATACAACCAATGGACTTCCGCACTATTGAAGTTCTCCATATCCAAGGAGCATCAACGTTTTAGAAGGATAACTTAAATTTTATAATTTTCGAAGAAAATGCCGTTCAAGATGAGCCGCATCAGAAAATCAAAAACCACAACTGTATTTCGAATTTTATCACAGCCGCTATTGTGTTACCTACATTAATTATTCTATGGGTCCTCTACAAAAAGATCTACCGCCATCTCCGGCCTGATCCACCAGCATCGCCAAACCACGCAGAACTCCAGATACTAGCATTAGTCAGGAACGAAAATTATCGTGAGTCAAAGTAAGAATCGCCAGTATGTAAATTAAATATTGCTAATGGATTTTCCCTTGATTAAAAATCTCTATTACTCATGTGCGAATGCTATTTCCGCTCAAAATCATCAATATTTGTTTCCCTTATGTTTCCTACCCTGAGTTCCAATCACACTTTCGCAAATGTCATTTTGTTTTTGCGTTTGATAGTATTGGTAGGGGAGCCAGTGGCACTTTAAGGTGTGTTATTCGTGAAAGGCAAAATTACAATTATTATATCGTACAGTCTTACCATAAAGAAAACAGAATCAGCAGCCCTCGATGAAGACGACTTAAAAACATCTGTGTAGAAAATGCTGTCATAAAAGAGCAAGTTTGAAACTTTTTTATTATTTACATCAAAAGTTAATAGAAAAAAGTTTGCTGTCACCTTCTTGAAATTTGATTCACAGTACCTTCTTGTTTGATAATAGCGCATTTCACCGCCAGAGCAATTGTAGCAAACGATTTTCATTAATATTACATATTATTCTATTACAGAAAAAAAGAGCCTTGCGTAAATAAAACATATTATTTTAATTTTACTTTAAACTTGAAAGTTTCCCACCTCTACCAAGATAGCAGCAAAACTTTTTTATTTTTATTTTCTATATTGGCTTCTTGTAGACGTCGTCATCGAGCGCTCCATAGCTGGTGCGTCTGCAGCAAAGTAATTCCATCTTATAGAAGGTAAGAATTAATGATACATTTATAATTCAGCCTTATGCAAAGGTATGTATATCAAAAAAAAACCTATCACTAGGATATCTACTATATAGACTCGATAAGAGTTGTTTAAATAAACGAAGACATGGGGTAATCGTCGCAGCCAACCCAACAAGAAAGGAAACAATTAAGTTGTTTGGAAAATTACTAGATTCAATATTCTTTCGCTTTTTTTACGCATGAGTAATGCGACATCATTAAATAACGGGAAAGATCCATTGTTATTTAATATTGTTTAATCTATGAACATTATGTTATAAAATTTATCTTTTAATTCTAATCATGATCTTTCGAGCAAAAGTTAAAAAATTTGAAGAAGACTATGGAAGAAGCAAACTTCAACATGAAGCAAAACAAGAACAAAAAGCCTTCTGCCAACCTTAATGACACAGGTTCGACAAAATCTAAGCCAAAACCCAAGAAGCAAACGCTTTAACTGCCGCCTGATCGAAGTTCTCTATTCTCAGACTCATGAAGCATCAAACGCTTTAAAATCAAATTCGACAACCATACAACCAAACTTCCGCCTGTTTGAAGTTATCCCTAATCAAACCCAAGAAGCACCAATGCTTTAAAAACAAATCGAAGCTCGTATCAAGCGAATTTGACAACCTTTTACAACCAAAGGACTTACGTTCTATTGAAGTTCTCCATACTCAAACCCAAGAAGCACCAACGCTTTAGACGTATAACTTAAATTCCATAATTTCCGAAGAAAATGCCGTTCAAGATGAGCTGAATGAGAAAAACTAGAAGAAAATCAAGAAACACAACTATATTTCGAATGTCATCACACTAATAGTTCTACGGGTCCTCTACAAAAAGATTTACCACCATCTCTGTCCCGGTCCACCAGCATTACCGAACCACGCTGAGATGATCGAACTTCATCCAGTAGCGTCAGTCAGAAACGAAAATCCTGATGACTCAAGTTGAAAGTCGCCAGTATGTTCAGATTTGAACATATTATATTAATATCCTGCATATAAAATTAATTATTTATTGAATTAAAATGTTTAAGTTCATATGCAGTTAATAATAAAAACATGTTCCAATTTCGGCCAATGTAATGGGGTACAATAGAACTTTTAGGTCGCAGTGTACTAATACCTCAATTAATATCGTAACATAATGCAATTCCCTAAGACACTTTTTTATCTTTTTAATTTTAGGATGAAACATAAAATCGCTAAAAAAAGGCATGTCAAGTTTGAATTAAAATTATTTCAATATGGTGAAAACATTCAAACATCAATCACGAATACCAATTTTTAATGTAGTAACTGTATTTTAAAAAGTATGAAGAATTTTGTTTGAATCAAGGAAAAAGCTGCAAATAAGTGGTTTCAGAAATGAAAACGATATTAAATTTGCAGCGATGTTACATTTTTTATCAAATTGCAGAATCGGCTAATTTTGATCATCCATTTCGTACCTTATTTTAATTGATTGATGGTGCTATTTGACTTACAGGTAAGGAAAATCTCATCCACCACATAAAAGAATTATTATTATTGATTAGAACATAATTAAAAATGAATGTATGCAATACTTTACGAAAGCGATCTATATAAAACAACTAACAAATTTAAATTATTATATAAAAACAAATTTTTTAAAAGTTCTACTATAAATGAGTTTCTTTTGCTTCGTTGACATATTTACAAGTAAAAGGGTTTAGAAACCAGGAACAGAACGACTTATTGTGATTATGCTTACATTTACTTCTAGGATGAGAAATAGAAATTTCACTTGGTCCGGAATCAGTTATGGAAATTTCACTATTTCCGATAGTACTATCATATCCACTTTCAACTTTTCGAGAAATTGCAGATGGACTAAGTTTGGACGTTCTATGTACAGAATCATTTCCACTATCATAATCTTCAGACTTATGTAAATTATTATATTTATGTTTTAATTTAATGGCAGCTATTCCAGTCTCAAAATTCATAACACGTCGGTTATTCTTTTCTATTGAGTGAATATTACGGTGAATCAAAGACTGAGTATTTACAAATTCTGAAACCATATCGACAGAACAAGCTCCACTTCCAGGTATTCTTTCATATCCTTCCTGTAAATTCGGATTAGAAGCTCCATCTGGCTGACGTAACTCCGAAAGTTCTTTTTCATTATGACTATATCTAAAAACAGAAGTAAATAAAAAAATATATAAATACATATTTAAAAATCTCAGCTTGTAAGTACGTAACGTAGTTTAACAAAGATGTACAATTATTTTGCTTAATAATGAATTTTGGAGACATCAGCTCCAATAATGAAGTTACACTTGACCAACAGCAAAATCAGAACACTCTGTATCTGTATACACACTGTATACATACGCGAAAGGGGTAGCCATGTGTGAGTTGATTTTTAATGGTGAAGAAAAAATGAAAGTGCTTCATATCTGTATATTGCGACCGGTGTCAAAGTCATAATTTACTTCATCTTCAGGTACGTTATATTCTCTAAATCACTAGGGTATAACCTTAGATAAACGAAACCAGAGATATAACATACACCGGTGTTTAACCTGCGCAAATGTTGCCAATTTCTAAAGAAAGGTTAACGGAGTGGGGGAACTGGGCAGAGACCCGATCTCTGTGACAGGGACCGGACTTTGTTTATTAGCATCATAATAAACTATTAGATTTATTTAAAATTTATGTTTAATGAAATTTTGTATTATGAAATAAAATTAATGTGGTTTTTTAATATCAAACAGATGCCACGACATTTTATGTAAAGAGAAAACCTTTTATAGAATATTTCGTAAGCGTTTATTTACTATGGACTTTTCAGCAAGAGACTACAGTAAAATGTTGAAATAGAATTTTGTTAATAGAGCAAGAAATGGTACTCATTGTCTACGAGTATCAGCAAATCAAACCTTGTGAGTTGAACATTATATTTTTTCTACGGCTATTACATAATATTAAAAATTAGTCAAAATGAGAAAATGCTGTTTTGCATTGTAACCTCAGCTTCTTTCTTTAGGAATATTAATTAATATAGAGGATGACTCACATAAAACTCTAGAAATGCATATGTCTGAAACCAGATAACATTTTAAAATTTAAACCTATTAAAAGTCATTTGGACGCTACGGGTGGGTGATTATCGATCATTGAAATAGTCTACTTAATTATCTTTTAAAAAACAAATATAATCGATTAATTTAAAAGCCAATTAACCGATAAATCAGTGTTTACAAAAAATAATAAAAGAATTATCGTTTATTTTAAATAATCGATTATTTTTAAATAATCCATTTTTTTCGTCCATTGAAACAGATTATTCGAAAATAATCGATTAATCAAAAATAATCGATTAATTAAAAAGTCGATTAACTGATAAATCGATTAAAAAAAACGAATTATCGATTATTTTAAATAATCGATTATTTTCGATCAATCGATTATTATCAATAATTTATTTTTATTGTATTTCCTTTAAAATCGATAATTCGATTATATTTGAAATACCGAAAATAATCGCTTAATCGAAATTAACCAATTAATTAAGAAGCCGATTCTACGATAAAACAATTTTTCAAAAAATTACCGAATTATCGATTATTTTCTTATAATCCTTTTCATATTTCCTTTAAAATTGTTTATTCTATTATCTTTGAAAAATCGAAAATATTCGATAAATGGACAATAATCGATTATTAAAATGCTGATTAACCGATAAATCGATAATTCTAAAAAATAACCGAAATATCGGTTAGATAAAATAACCGATTATATTCGATTAATCGATTATTGTCATATAATACCTTTGAAAAATCAAAAATAATCGATTAATTAAAAAAACAGATTAAACGATAAATTGATTTTTCCTAAAAAATCGATTATTTTCAATCAATCGATTATTTTGAATAAATCTACTTTCTTTTTGTATTTCCTTTAAAATCGATTATTACATTATCTTTAAAAAAACGAAAATAATTTATTAAAAAATAACGGATAAATCGATTTTCATAAAAAAATATATCAGAATAATCGATAAATCGATTATTTTTTGTAACCCCTATCGGTCGCTTGCTTTCATCTTAGCATTTAGCTCCAAAATTTAGAGATTCGGATTTTTTGATCCCGTTATCTTTGAAACCTCATTCGATTGTATAATAAATAATAAATATTGCTAGAATTTGGATTTTTTTAGTAAACGATAATTTTGTTCGAGTTGTTTAGGGGTTTATAATGTAACATTTTACCCGTAACTTTAGTATTTTTTGCTTATACTAGATCATATTGTGCGTTTTACTTTGTTTTAAGACTCAAGAATTAAATGAACCTTGAAATTTTAAGTAGGTCATCCTGTATAAAAATACCTTAAAAAAATAAAATTTTGCCAGTAACTATACATCTTTATTTCTTATTTATCTACCAAAAAAGGCTAAAAACCACCTTTAGTAAATATTCTTATAAAACTACTTTTTAAAAACAAAATTTCGTTAGTAACAATGCCTATTTACTTCTTATTTAAACTAAATGTTCAAAATTTTACCCTTTTGTAAATTTATGTAATATGGAATCTGTTTTCTTAAATAAGTATTTGATGCTTAATATTTATTGAAACCCCTTAATGCGGATCTGAAGTATTCGGCCCAAAAGATCATGGCGCTTTATGTCAAAACGTTAATAAGTATTTACCGCTGAAAATGAATATATTTTTTATCTTTGATAACATTAGTACTTGTAATATAAGTATATACAATTTTTCAAGATACATCGTGGCATTTTGAACTTAAAATTGAATAATTAGAACACTTTAAATTGTTGTACACCAACAAATAAATCAAAAAACAACTGTCAATGGTGATTGAACTCAGGCGGAGGTGAGCGTTGAATGTAAAAATCGGAGCAATTCGGGTGGCGTCGTGCAAACAATGATTTTCAATTGGTGGGTTACTTGGAGTTAAAATAGACAATATGCGCAGTGTGCAATGTTATTTCAGGTTTTTTTCCATTATTTTGTACAACATATTGTACAAAGAAATGTTATCATTACCAATATTTTAGGTCACTCACTTTGTAATATTTAGAATAAAACTGATACATCAGCATTAGCATTAGAATTTGGAATTGGAAGGCGACAATGGCGACATGCCGAAATGAGAACATGCGTTTCTCACATTGTTAACTCTTATCAATGCATAGCCTTTTATCAATATATTCATGTGTAAAATATTGAAATTGAAAAATATCGATGTGTAAAATAACGAAATGAAACATATCGATGTTTAGGTAGTTTCGATAAATCGAAAAATATCGTGCATTCCTAATTGCAATGCCTGGGGAGTAGTTGTTTTCAGAAGGGAAACGGTCGCTCGACTTTGTTGTGTCACGGACTTTCTCTTTTCACTTGTTCTTCAATTATAATAAAGAAATATAACTCAATTAGTAGATAGAAGACAAAATATGAGAAATGGTAAAAATAAAGTACAAACCTTTGGAATCGTCCACCTATTTCAAATTGCGGATTTTCACCCATATTTGGCGTAATACTAAAAAAAGGTGTATACTCATTTAATGCTCTATTGGATCGATACATATTAGCTTTACAATTTTCACAAAATCTTTCTTGTAAGTAAATTGGTTCGCTGTAAATACTGCCTTCATCTGTTCTCTGTTTTTGTTGGTTTATTAAAATATCTGTCAACGTCATAGATTTCATTAAATGAGTACCTTTCAAGGATTCTAGATCAGTAAATTCAGTTTTTCCAAGCCTAGTGCAATACGCATTATGTAAAATGGAGTCATTGATTTTTTTAATAAATGTATCATCTCCAATATTGTTTTGTTCAGTATGATTATCAATATCTTCATAATCATTATAGTAGCCGTTTAGATCTAAGTACCGAGGTAAAATTCTTTCTAGATCATTAAAAACAGATACAGAATCGGTAAATGAAGACAATGCACTTAAATTTTCTTCACTAAAAGTAGATTGCTGATCAACTTCTGGTAAGGGATTTTCAGTCTTCCCCATGCACAAATTTATTTCTTCTTCTGTAACTTGCAAACATTTATCTATCATAGGTACCGGTTCTAAGGGCTCTTCTACTTCTATTATTTCTAATTCATCATTGTCATCACAGTTCTCTCCAATTAAATGTTTTTCGTGAAAATCGTAATCTGTAGATGAAAGCATACGTTCTCTAAGGATCTGATCTAAACTTTCAATTGATACTTCTCTACTACTTAATGGTTGAATCAGCGGCAAAGCTGGTGGTAACACCGGTTCTTCTTCATCTTCGTTATCTTCATCCGTAAATGTACCTTTAGCTTTTGTAGGTTTTTCCAACACTTTTTGTTTTTTATTTAAAATCTAAAAAATTGTGAAATAAATATATAAAGTATCTCATAAGATTATTAATTAAAGCACATCCAACTTTTTATTTAATTGATTCTTAAAAAGTAAATTTTGGAATACATCCTATACAGGTAAAACTAATATACAAACCTCAGCAACTTGTAAACCATCACTATGTTTGGAATAACTTGGCTCCTTGCTAGAATCTTTTTGTATAACGACTTGTGCCACTTTTGGAACTACCTGTTTTGCTTTTTGAAGCTGTACTGATTGATTTTCAACCCATTTTTTAATCATGTATTTTTTATGACTATCCATATATCCATAAGCTGTGCTAACGTCTTCTTTCATAGGGCCATCTATCCATGTTTCACATTTACGAACGTGATATTTTTCTTTCATTATTTGAAATGCTTCTGCGATTTTAGATTTTGAAATTCGCGGTCCATCAATCCACTGTTCATCACTGCGATCATTTAAAAAATATTTAGCTGTGTCAATTTTAAATTTATATGAATCTTTTCTACTGGGCGATCTTGACGAGCTACTATGACTTGAAAGTCTGTGATTATGAGTAGATTTTGTTGAACGTGCTATTTTTTCTCCAGATTTACTCGGCTTCGATGTTTGAGTTAGTTTATGTTCAGCTATAGAGCCTAAAAATTAAAATTTTGTGAGAAAATAAAAATAATCTATAATTAAATTAAATTGTAAGTATATACCAATTAAAAACAAAAGTAAATTATCCTTTTTTAACAAAAGTGGCAATATCCATACAAGAAAAGAAAATTGTAAGTCAGTTTCCACAAAATTTAATTAAATATGTTAACGCGACGTGTCCACCTTTATGGGAGTCATTAGACATAAAACTGAGGGTGGTTATACAGTATTATAAAGTGTTACAAAGGTGATTTTTGTCTAATGGTTTAAACAAATGAAAACTTCAACTACCAAGCCATCTATTCTGGTTTCTCATTACAATTTATTCTTCATAAAATAATGTATACAAAATAAAGTGACTAACTAAATATTTATACCAACAATGACAATGAATATACAGAAAGAAATAATTTGTAATGAAGTCATTTTTCATTAATATATTCCTAGTCAATTACCGGATGTGTATTCCAATTTTTGTTTCACTTTATTGTTGCAGTATGTGCAGTAACTTTCTTCGATTTAGGAATCAGATTTGCAGGGAAAAATGATTCTTATCGTGCGAAACGTGTATCGATGTTTCACCACGTCTAGCTTTCGATACGCGGTAATACCGGTCGGGGGAGGGACTGGCTTGTACCGTATCAAGGTAAACACCGGGGTTTTATTTAAACGTTTTTATCGTCGTACGATAAAAATTTTTGCTTCGTTTCACCGCTATTTAAAAACCATTTTATTTTATCGTGGATAATATTGTTACACAGGTTTTTGGTATCGCAATTTATTTCAACTCAACTTTAACAACCGTTATACAACTGATAACATTAACATGTCACGTCTATCATAAAACTGAAAACTGACGTCAGGTAACATGTCACCGTCACGTCTATCATAAAACTGAAAACTGACGTCAGGATCATCCTTGTATAGCTTGCTTGACCCTTCTCGAACTGTTGTCTAGAATATAACCTTAGATAATATAATAGCAGATAGGGCACCACTGCATAAAGTTATACAATATTAATACCGCTATCATATAATCAGTATCTCTCTTTCTAATGAAGGCTTTCTCACTCGTTTTAGAATTCTCAGCAGTAGCTTACCGTAAAACAATTTCGCTGGGTCATTTTAAATGCGAAAATGTTGACCAAATAGAACATGAAATAAAATGTTTTAAAAGGTAGGTAGGTGCATTTTTAATGAAGTGAAAACAAAATATGACTTTTTTGTTATGAATATAATATTAATAACAATTACTTTTAACACCACAACACGAACAAATTTAAATTAAACACTGGAATAATTGTCTGAGAAAAGCTTTGTAAAACTGACAAATACAAAAAAGAGATAGAGATATTAATCTATTTCTCTCTAATTAGAATTCTCGACCATATTATCATGGCGACACAAACATTGTTTACTGTCCTCTCTTTACTACTTACTTACTCTGAGGAATATAACACGATGAGTAACATTCTACTTCTTTTTCTGTCTGTACGTTTCCTATAATAGCCGCTGGCTACTGCAGGGTGCTGCGTAACAATATTATTGTAAAATATTTCGCGTTTTCCGCATTCGGATTTAGTTTCACTGTTTAGATTATTTCCGTAAAACATATTTCCGCGATTTCCAAATACACGTTTGAAATTTTCTTCCGTTTTCAATTTTGACTTTAAGTATTAATTGAATAGATGATTTCATCGGAAGACATATTGCAGTTGCAAGATAATTGCAAGAGCTTTACGTCATCTATCAGTTTACATAGCAAGTAATAGAAACAGGATAAGGAAATTAAATTATCTTTTCGACATTCTGTCTAAGATTACGGCTATGAAGACTAGAAAGAAGGAGGCGAATCATCAATGGTTAAATTTCAAATGTATGTCCTTCTTTTTATAAAGTTCGCGAAATTGACTCTAGTTAGCAGGTCGAATGTCAGCGCTGTCAATTTTTTATGTAAGTCAATGTAAAATGAAGGGTTTGTTTTTAATTTGTGAAAAGAATTAAAATAATGTGAAAAAAAGTACCTAAGTAGAAGTAACATCAAAACATCAATGCAAGATTTACTTTGTTCCAGACTGTAAAACGGGAGAAATCAATTCAATGTCTTTTTTAAAGCTTCTAAATGTAAGTATAATAATGTATTTATTTCTAAATATATTTATTGTTAACTACCCAGCTAGCACATAACGTTACCAAGCCTTTCGGCGATGTTGTTTTAAGGGAACATAATAACATACCCATACAACGTAATTGCAACGTTAATGAGAAGTTGTTGAGGGAAATCAAAACCTCGCGAAACATCTATTTGTTACTTACGTATTTAACCTGCCTGTTATGATAACACAACGTAATTAAGTAACTTGCTAAAAAAGTTTCCACGAGAAGTACTATGGACTTTCGAACGTAGCTATTCGTTTGTCATAACCAACAAAACATAAAAAAATGTCACTTGTCACTTTTTCTTGTACGTATTTGATATTTTAAAGAAATTGGAAACTATACGTTTGAATAAGTTTGGTAAGTTGTTTTCTTCTTTTCAATAAATTTTCTAATTTATTGTCTGTTGTTTTAGATGGTAAAATTTCAATTTCCAAATACAATAAAAAATAAATCATTGTAAACAAGTAGATACAATTAAATGATGAAATATTTATTTTACACGTATTACACGATAATAGGGATCTTATTGATGCCTTATTACTATAGAAGTAACGATATTAAACAATGAAAGTATCGATATTTAGGCACTGAATTACCAATACTATCGCCATAGTGATACTTAGAAGCAAGTATTGTATCGCTATGTGTGTGGTCAGAGATTATAAGGTTTGTTCAAATATTTGTACTGAAATATTTTAGTTTTTGCATGTGGTGAAACTTGGTAATATGATTAAGCGTTACCACTGTTTTTTTGTTATTTAATTATAAGGTAAATTGCCAGTTATTGACACTATAACTTGTACCAGGTAGAGTACCAGTAGAGAAAGAAAAGATGTCGACTACAGAATATACTTTACTGATGCACTCTTGTTATTAATTAAGTTCCCTACTCCGTCCTGTTGAATGGGGGTTGCCAGCCGTTTAACAAAAATCTTTTACTTTTTCGATACTTTGTTACTCGAGACTTATAAATATCAATATCTTTAACATAATATCGAACAGTATCGATGCCTCTACCACAAAGTATCTCACATGATACCGGTATTGATACCTTTGACCGATACTCAACCCTACTCCCAATTATAAAAATACAAAAACAGAGAAGTCATATACTGCCATCCTAACAAGAGAAGTCCTATCTGAAAATTTATATTTATTATCTTTTAAACCTTTTTTTGTGTATCTTTTTAACATTTTAGTACCTTTGTTGCAAATAAGACATTCCTTTTCAGTATCGAGAAAGATAAAATGTAGACAAATGCACATAAAAAAACTGCTAATTTTGCAGATAAAACCTTTCTTGCTAGAACAGCAGTATAGAAGTGCTCATGTAGTTCACTAAAGATAAATAACATTTTGTTACGTTTCACTAAATTAAGTATTACCATTGCTGGACAGTAGTGACGTTTTGGTGGATAAATACAGCATTTCACTGGATATATATACCTATGCCATTTTGCTGTACGTTTGCTGCACAATACCAATTGCTGGACAAACTTTAAAAATGCTTTACAATACAGAAAAATTGCTGTAAGTATGGTCGCCCTAGTGTAATAATATTTTAATCACTAAAAATAAATTTTAAAAATATTGTGTTTTAGGTTTCCTTTGTGCTGGATTATAATTCTAGTAAAAATCTCAGGAATTTTAGAAGCTAAAGTTAATACAGAATTGGTTGAAGAAGAATATATAACATCTGAGATTATTTCTTTTTCTTTCATAGTAGAATATCATGCTAAAAAACATTGTTCTGTATAAGTTGAACATCCATTATTAAGTATCAAATTTGTAAAAGTCAAAATAAATGTTATTATTTATTTAAAAAAACAAAGTAAGTAAAAATCAACTAAAAATAGGTGCAACGATTTAAACGAGCATATTTTTTATTTTCTTTATATATATATATATTATTTTCTTAATAATAATTAAACAAGTAAATTTATTATCTACAAAGTTATTTTTACGGAAGAAACTATGTAATTAAGTTCACATATTTAAGTATTTGTTTACAGTACGCTACTGATACATAAAGTTCTAAATGGTTAAAATATCAAAATAAAAAAGAAATTAATAAAATTGTCACAGTATAAAAATGAAGTCAATAGTGTAATAAAAGTTGACACTTTAAAAAATAAACCTTTCAAAATGTCATAATTTGAAAAATACTTATTGTAATTGGACATCAGTTGGTCTACAAATAAATTCTGTCCATAGTTCTATGAGCATTTACATAAAATAGTTTCATATGCCTAGTTAGTCTGGCAGGAACAAGGAATCTAATAAAATGTGCCAGGCTGTCACTATCAATCAAACCGTTCAATAACTTATACAGGAAAACAAATGATGCTTCTCGACATTTGCATTCCAAACTCTTATAGGTCCCTCTCAAAAATAACATCAAGATCATTTAAAGTTTGCTCAAAACTTAGTTCAGAACCTGCAATGACAATCATGCATAATGATATTAGCTGTTTTATTAAACCTTATGACTTTACATTTATCAATATTCAGTTTAAGCAAGTTATATCATATTAAAACTATGATTAGTACCAGTTGTAGGCAAATATCTTTTTTTAGCATCCTACAACTGCCATCTTAATAAAAATCTAGTGACCTTTGAAATATACCTTATATAAATACACTTTTTACTACTTTTGTACAATCGTGCACCATTTTAGCTACCAGTGAACCTTTGCAATATAGGTACCTTATTATACTCTTTCGTGCAAGCGTTCAGTGTTTTCGATTCTAGTGAACCTTTGAGATATTCCTTATATACTCTTTATACCAACTTTTGTCCAATTTGTCAGTGTTTTTTTTTACCTATATTATTAAT